AATTTAATTTTGTACCAGAGAACGTTTGTGCGGATTATTTGGGAAATTTTGAGGAAATGCTTCGTACTTTGCAGAAAATTCACTGAAATTGGCACAAAAATCCGGACAACCGTTTTCGTGTAAAAAATTAAATTGCCATGTTAAATTTGGCAACAGCAAATGTGGCTTGGTTCCTTTCTGCTTATAGTGCCGTCCAATTTTCCCCAAGATTATGAAGATACGCCTCAACAAATTTCGAATCAGCACGTTGCTCGATTTTTTATTTAAAACAAATAAAACAAGATTAGATTCTAGGCAACGTGCTTCTTTCTCTTCTAGTGCGAAACACTGAAAAAAAAATCTCGGTGTATTTACTAAGAAAAGAGTAAAATTACCAAGAATTCAGGGTTCTATTTGATCCCAGTTTTTTCTTGGTAAAATTACCATTTATGAAATTGGTAATTTCACCAAGAAATCTCGGTAAAATTATTGAACTTTCTCGGTAATTTTACTGGACCTTGATAAAAACGCCAATATTTTTTATCGACTGTGGTAGAATTACCGAAATAAAATGGCAAAGTTACCGGGAATTGATCACCAATAAAAGTGGTATTCCTACCTGAAAAAACAATAAATTACCGGTTTTTTAGGTAAGCTTACCAGGCTGTCTTGGTAAAATTACCAATAATGGGTAAAAAAAAGTGAGATGGTAAAGGTACCAACGGACTATGGTAAAAACGCCGAGAATTTTTTTTCAGTGAACCATTCGGCAACATCCGCACAACATCCGATTCGGCAAACGTGTCTCAGCTTTTCCTCTGCCCCTCCGCTCCGGCGAGGCGTGAATCAGTTTTGATAGACTCGTTTTCCGGAATAGTGATAATGCTGTCTCCCAGCGCCATCTGTGCTTATTTATGAGAGGCACACGGGTCTCAGGTGTCTTCCCTCTTCCGCGAAAGCCCGATGAAAAATATTTCCCGTTCCTAGGAAGTTTGATGAGTTATTGCCGAAAAGTGCGTCGGATCGCTTTCGGAGTGCGACGAGAAAAAAAAAATCCTCTGAAATCGCGGACTGGCTCCTTTTGAATTTGAACTCATGGTCATAGTGCTTCCATTCCATGTCCTTCAAAAGTTCTTGGATTCGGAACTTTTTTGTTCCAATTTACCCACTTTCTGACTGTCAAAAGTTCCGGGATTCCTTTTAGATTTTTTCAGAAGTCCCAAGAAAGTTCAGGAAAATCTCAAAAGTTCCGGAATTCGGAACTAGTTCCGGGAACTATCTCTGTGTGGTCAATGCCTTCCATTTATAAGAAATGAACGAAACAATTATGAAAGGACGAACATGAATGTGCCTTAATAATTTTAACTTCTGCCGCCGCGCCGCGCTGACCGCACTGTCTTTGGCGCAATGCGTGAAGTATTCCAACAGTCTTGTAGGCGCTACGCGTTTCACGCCGACCGATGCTGAACGCACTTTGTTCGACGTAATGCGTGAAGTATTCATGCAGTCTTGTAGGCGCTGTGCGTTCCACGCCGACCGCTGCTGACCGCACTGTGTTTGACGCAATGCGTGAAGTATGTATGCAGTCTTGTAGGCGCTAATAAGTGATGCCGCGCCGAGTAGTTTCTCCTGTTCATCTCAAGTTCTCGCCATCATTGCTCTCTGCGCCGCGCCGTTCCGAATGTTAAAAACCATAAGTTAGGGCAGAAAGACACAAACTGTCATTTTAAAAAGGAAAATTTGGTGTCTGAAATTTTCATCTTCTTGAAAGTTGACTTTCGAAGGTTACACCCGTCACCCGTCTTCTATTAAATCGTTCATTTAAAGAAAGTACCCATTCAACCCAGTTTTGCATTAGGATGAAGCGCAGGATGAGGAAAGGAGGCGTAAAATATGCTGAAACGTGTAATTGATGATTAGTCTGTACCACTGCCACTGGTTTCAGCGCAGTCCATCATCCCATCATTCCAGCGTGCCTCTTTTCTTTCGGTGCCCGGCAGCGCACAGTGGAGCGAGTCAATGGTAGGCAGGGTCGCAATTTTTTGAAGAATAAAATCTTGAAATTTCTCGTGAAATATCCTATGAAATTTCAGAAGAAAATGAAAGATATTCAAAAACATTCTTCGAAAATGAATGCAAAATTTTATGAAAGGCAAACGGGTTTTACTCCTTGGTGTTTTTTAGCGCGTATTGTATACCCAACATCTGAGGATATGTCGCATATTTTTCACCACTTTGTCAAGTTTCATGGAATAATTTACGGAAACGTCCCATCTTTCATTTTTTCCCTTTCACTTGTCCGACCCTCGGAAGAGATCAGACCAGACGTGGACGTATTACTGCTAAACGAAATTAGAGACGTTTGGGAAAGTGTGCTCGTGTTGAGCTGTCCAAGAAACAATGTAAAAGACAACAACAACAATCATGATGATGTGGCAATGATGCCTTTTCGCCAATTGCACAGAATATAAACTGGAATGGACCGGGGAACTGGGGGTACGGCACAGAACAAATGGAATGAGAGAGGGAACGGAGACTGGAATTCGGGAATGCGTTGATCAAAGATTACGAAAAACGTTCAATCTGTGTAATCTTTATTCCCGTTTGTGACATCTATAAGCCGCGTTGTCTCAACTCTCTCTATAAAGAGACTCTATGTTGCACCAAACAGCGTATCTCTTTGAGGGAAAATTGAGCTCACATGAGATTTTTCCCTCTGCATTGAGATTTTTAGCTCTACGCTGATTTTTAACGCACGCTGGCTAAAAAATTCCAACTTACTGTCCACCGAATAAACTTCAAAATTCGCAACTTTGGTCCTAAATTTAGTGTCCAACTTCTCTCAGTGTCTCGTTCCACTGTGGGCGGCGGGGGAGGACTCGCCGAATGGGTGGTTCCGCGGAGACGAAGGCGGGGGCGGGGGCGGGGGCGGGCGAAGGGAAGGGGGTTGAGTAATTAATAATCCTAATTAAATACCGAACCGATTAATCTCGCCCGACGGCGCGAAGAGCGAGTGCGTCACTTGGCGGGCGCTCTTGAAAGGAGCGTCCCGCCGCGCTGGTTTCGGTCCATCCGGAACGAGCTTTCATGGAGCTTGGCGTTTTGTTGCGCGGAGATCCGCCGCGAAGAATGCCCAAGTCGGAGAACGATTTGCTCCGTGTAGTGTACCGCCGTGCTGAGGAAGAACGCCGTATGAGCCTGCAGACGTTGCCACACTGAAAGAAAAACCTCGGTGTTTTTACTAAGAAAAGGGTAAAATTACCAAGAATTCAGGGTTCTATTTGATCCCAGTTTTCCTTGGTAAAATTACCATTTATGGAATTGGTAATTTTCCGAGAAATCTCGGTAAAATTATTGAACTTTCTCGGTAATTTTACTGGACCTTGGTAAAAACGCCAATATTTTTTATCGACTGTGGTAGAATTACCGAGATAAAATGGCAAAGTTACCGGGAATTGATTACCAATAAAAGTAGTATTCTCACCAGAAAAAAACAGTAAAAATACCGGTTTTTAGGTAAGCTTATTAGTCTGTCTTGGTAAACTTACTTTAATTGGTAAAAAAAGTAGGATGGTAAAGGTACCAACGGACCTTGGTGAAAACGCCGAGAATTTTTTTCCAGTGCGTTTTGCCAAATTTCCTTCGATAAAATCCGAATTTACAGGGCGAATTGTGAATATTTTATTCGAGATTTCTCAGACAATATTGTGTGCAATTTAATTTAATCTAAAATGTCTGAACATGTCAAAGAAAAATGTCGTCAAAAGTACATGTTTTATCAAGGGAAATTTGGCAACTCTCGAATGTTCATACGGCGTTCTTCCTTAGCACGGTAGAGTGAGGGAGGAAGTTTTTTTGAATGGAATGGACCACTAGATAAGGTACGAATTTCAGCATTCTGATACATGTTTCTTAACCGAAATTTTACGTAAAACACGATGCACACAACGAAAATTACCGAAATTAACTCCTGACGAAGATATTTAATGATTCTTGATGCGTCAATTCAAACCACCCGCTCATGAAAACTCAATGCTCTACGTGATTCATATCGCGCGCTAAACGTTTATCATGACAGTCTTTGCGATATAAAAATCTGGCAACCTCAATCTTGACGCTTTGGCTCAGCTATAGCAAATTGCTAATAGTTTGAACAACACATGGTGGGAAATGAGCATTGCTCGATTGAGAAGCTTGCTGAAACCGTTGTAGTGGGCGATTTGACTCACGTAGAGCTTTGAGTTTCTTGTGAGCGGGCAGATCAAATTCCTTGTAACCAATGTGAAATAAAAACGTTAATATCTTCGTTAGGAGTTGGTTTCAGTGATTTTCGTTGTGTGGATCGTTTTCTACGTGAAATTCTGGTTAAGAAACATGTATCAGATCGCTTAAATTCGTACCTTGTCTAGTGGTCCATTCTGACGAGCTGGGTTAGTGATGAGCTACCAGGACGGTGGCAAAATTTCACGAAAATTAGAGTCTTGGAATTTCATGTGAAAAACCATTTTCTTTTTTTTTTGGGGGGGGGGGCGTTCAAGTACTACGTAAGGCATTCGGGGGGAAGAGGAGGGCTTGAGTCGGCGTTACGTAACATATCCCAGCCGGGGGAAATAAACTTTGAAAAAAACGTGCAAATAATAAATTGAAAATCTAATCATGTATTTTCACACCTTTGTTGATCTCTTCCCGTCGTATGTTAGCGAAATATTTTTGGTAACATAGATTTTATTAGTTTCTTACAAGGTGGAATGGGGCCGGACAGCTACCCCACCCTAAACTGGAAGAAGTGCATTTGCATAAAGGTAGGTGCAATTAGACAGCTAAACCTAGTGTCTAATGGATCTTAAATTTGTAATTCCTATTCTAATTTTCTTGATAATCGGTCTTTATACCTGCTGTTCTTTATTTACAAAATGTTGATGAATTGATATATTGATCAATCTCTGGCGTGCAGTTGTGACCCCCCGGTACCACCATCCTTTCGTACTGTAATGATTAAATTTGAATTTTTTTGTGTGCAGGTGTGATGTTGGTGGAAATCGCGTGGCTTACCGTGGGAGTGGTGTGGCTGGTTGTCAATTACAAGACCTGTCCCATCGAAAGCGCGAAGGAAGTCATTCTCGGTAAGTTCTCGGAGTCATGTGTTCACTGTACTTCCATCTTAACGGAACTTAGCAAAGCCCTGTTGAGCTTCTCTGTATCAAGTCAAATAGAAGGATAGAGTCAAGGATCCCTGAGGCCGCCGTATAACGAGTTTCGGGCGCTTGGAAACGAGCGGTTTCATTTTCAAGCTTCGCTCTAAGTTAAGAAGCTTATGCAAGTTGAGTCTTGTGATATGTCACGAACAGGGTGGCAAATTTTCATGAAATTTCTTAAATTTCTTAAATTTGACACTGGAAAAAAAAAAAAAAAAAACATTCGATCTAAAGTCCAGACTCTTGAAAACATTGACAAGAAAAAATACTCTTGATTCAATCGGATTTTTGCTTGAATCAAAAGGAAATCCGCTTAAATTAAGAGGCTTGGTTCTTGATTTAAGCTATAGATTCTGATATAATCAAGAATACTTTTTCTTGTCGATGTTTTTAAGAGTCTGGACTCTAGATCCAATGTGTTTCTTCCCCAGTGTAATTGAAATATTTTCGGAAACCGGACTCGATGAAATGTATGCCATACTATTTTTTTATTATCAGCCTACATTTTGCGTGAAATACTTTCCGGAAACCAACCTTTAAATGAAATACATTTCTCATATTTGCGATCACTAGCCCAACCCTAAATAATTATCAAAACTCTGCCAATTTCATTTGAAAGCATTATTTTCTTCATTTTGATCATTTCCTTACGTTTCATTTTTGAAAAAAAGAAGTATAAGAATGCGGAAGTTCACTGAAAAAATAATTTTTGTTTCACCATGAAATTTTACGAGAAAACCAAGGAAGCCACTTTTAAAACTTTCACGTTCAGTCTTAACTTAGCGACTTTACTTAGTGACTTTTTAAAGTCTCTAGCTTTTGTCCGACCTCTTTCATGGATCGTATTCGATAGTGGTTCAATGTATCGTTTGGTTCAAAGGAATAGAGCATGACCTCAAACCTAAAATTTAGAATTTAAGTTGATAAAGCTGAAAATGAGAAAATTCCTTACAATTCAGCTTTTCATCGCCACTTTGTTCTCATAAGAATAAAAAATCTATCACAAAAACCCGTTCTTTCAGATTATTCAGTTGACTTTTGAGGCTATGTTTACTAGCTGAGCCAATCGGAATTGATACATTCTCACCTCTTTGATGTATCTGTCGCAGGCAAATAGTAAAATCAGGCATTTTGTCAAATGCCTAGGCAAATAGTCAAATATTCTAACTTAGATTGAAATTCTGATTCTTTTCCTAATTTCAGACAAAATTATTCATTGCTCCTGCAAGAAAAAATTCTCAGTAAAAATTTACGCACAATAGTATTTTAAACAACTTTTAGCTCCTGAAGAGACACTGATCTTAAAATTTTCAGCATGTCGTAAAATACAGAATTTTTGGAATTTCAACATTTAAAAATTTGAGAAGCAATTGAAGAAAAAGGGACAGAAAGAGTTCGTAGGTTTGATGAGTTATTTTTCCAAAAATAGTGAAGAAGCATGAGCTCTTCGCCATAAATTCACAAAATTTTGTAGACCGTCAGACTATCTGCCTAGGCATTTAACAAAATGCCTGATTTCACTATTTGCCTGCGACATATCGAATACGATCCATTGATTCGTTCCACTGTTAACTAGCGAGAAACTTGATTCGCCTTCACATACAAGGTTATGCAATTTGAGCTACCCAAGAGTTGATATAGTTGTATCCCTCATTTTGGTCTTCAATCACAACACCTATTTGTAAGTGAACGTTGGTGTGTGCGTGTTGCAGGGTTGGTTGTTTGCAACTGGCTGATCATGCTGATCATCGGAGTGACGGTTTGGTGCGTGTTCGATGCAGCGGGTCGTTCGTGGGTCAAGATGCAGCAGTTCCAGCGCTCCATGCGAGAGAACGAGTCATCCCGCTTCCAGTACAAGCGCTCTGGAAGGCGAGGCGGCCGCAATTGGAGGCAAAGGTTAGATTCACCATCATACAGCTGTACATTCATTGAGTCATCAGGGTGTTTACAAGTCCGAAATTTCCGGAAAGTCCGGAGGTAGAACCGATTTTTTAAGAGCGGTCCGGAAGTACCGAAAAAGTGCCGAAATTCCGCAAGAAGGTCCGGAATTTTGTTCATTTTTTGTCATGTGTGTCGCAATTTGAGCGAGAAATTCAAATTTTTGAAATTTTTCGAACTTCGTCAATTTTAGGTACTGAAAAAGTACCGAATGTTTCTATTGAGGAGGTACTGAATTTCTTGGGAATGTACTGAAAAAGCACTGTAAAAGTACTGATTTTTTGTCAGCCTGTTTTAGTAGACATCCTGGTCAGTGGTCATATTGGCATGAATAGACTGAAGTACCTAGCGTATGGTCATTTCTGCCGTGATAGCGAAGATAGCCGTTAGTGCAAACCGGAGTTTTGAGGAAACGGGCTCAGAAGCGCCTGACAGGAAAATTTGATCAAAAGACGCCTCCGTTCTCTGTCAAATTGCCACTGATCATCCGAAAAATTCCTAGAAATTGTTTGGATAATTAAAAATCGACCAATTTTATTTGCATTACATAAAAAGGGTATTTTCCATTCTCATGTTAGGCTAGTGTTAGGCAAGACAGCCGTGCTATTTTGTGTACTACATCTTTTCTCTCAATGCACAAGCAGTTCAAGCTTAAACTCCATTCCCAATTTTCCTCAAGACGGAGCGCTTCAATCGCGCGAGAAATTTCATGAAGGTCGAGTGTTGAAAGTAATCACCTAATAGTTCTCCTAAAAATGCTAGAAAGCTCAAAAACAAGCCAATACTGAGGCCAATGAACGCCGCTTGTAAATCATTCATGGTAAACGGACGTGGCTCCCCACTACCCTCGACCTCGGGTTCTTCTAAACATATTCTGCAGTTTGACTTGAAATTATCCAAGAACCTTCGGGATAGTCCATTTTCAAAAAATTGCGCGAACATCCAATTAAACTTCTCAAAGTAAAAAGAACCTCTCATGAATGGAATCATCACTGGATACGTCATCAAGCAGTCTCTTACAAGATGATACTTAAACCACTTATTGGTAAGGATGTTTCTTATTCGGAGATTTTCTTTGGACGACGATGAGAAAGGTACATCCACAAGAAATGCGTCTGTTTCTCCCATTGAACGTACATTTGCTAATACTTCTTCAATGGCGTTTCCGTATTTTCCATTCATCGCCGGAAAAATATACTCGCGGTCGGTATAGTGATAGTCTAAAATAGCGGCAAGAGTTAAATTTGAAAAAGCCTCATCAGCAATCATCAGATAATTGTAAAATGTGAAACCATCAACCACTTTTGATTTTAATGTCTCAGTTTGTTCAAGTTGGTCCAGAATTCTCAATATGGCGTCTTTGGTCCCGTCTGCAATTTGAATTAGAAGGTCGGATTCTTCCAGAGACTTCAAGGTATCGATTTCTGGATACAAAACTCTATCACTCAATAATGTCGTCATACCACTCAGAAACACTGTGGAAATTATGATCGCGGAAAAACTGAAGATCGTGAAGAGTACTTTCCCAGTATGGAGTCGGCCTAAATGTAGAGACGGTGGGCTCCCACAAATGAAGTATGCGTAGACGGTCAACAATGACGAACTATCTCTATAATAATCGATCTCTGCATTTGTGTAGAGACGGTAGAATAATTCACTCTGCGCATACTGGAACAAACATTGCATGACACAAAAAATGACGATTGTAACGGCGATGAAAACCCAGACAACCGGTTTAAATCCCTGGAAAATGACCAGACTTTGGGGCATGTAAACGCTATGCGGTGTGGCGATGCACACAGCGCGAATGTCATAGCCGATTGAGAAATCATATTTTGAGAAATCAGCTCCCTCCCACATTATTCCAGGCCTAAAAAAAATCATATCGACGCCCAATTTGGGAGCGTCTTCGATCCGGAAATTTGAGTTCAATAAATCATCTTCCATTTCCGCCTTATATCTTAGAGCGTAATTTAAAGAACTCTTACATTCATCAAGAAGAGCTCCCGGAACAACTATCCAGCCATTTGTGGGTGCACTTAGTAAAATCTTTGAATAATCATCGCCCTCAAACCAGTCAACATAAACTCCGAGCGGTTTTTGGTACATGTTTTTCCAAGAAAAGTCGAAAAAAGTCTCATCAGTGTTGCCCTCATATGAAATAAGAGTTTCTTTAAACGGATCATATTTCTTGTAGATGCCTCTGAAGCAGATAATAGATCTCTGGCCTTTGAAGAACCGCCAAAAAAATTTAAAGCAAAAAGTTAGGCTTTCATGTATACCTTTCTGGGAATGTCGGTGAGTCTCGTTGAGCATGGATTTCGGCGTCAACTTTCCTGTATTTTTATCGAAATTTTTTAACATGAATATCAGATGGTTTTTAAAATTCCAAATTTTATTCCAGTAAAGGTCACGCGTCGTGTTGTGGACCGAATCACTCACGATCGAGCCATCCTCCAGTTCGGAGGATCTTATGTTTATCTTGTGACTACAATCTTCTCTCCGTCCTAGCCAGTTGTACACTTTGTCAGTTTCAATACAATAACGAGGCATGGTCCAATTGAAATTGCACCCAGTATCTACTTCATTTGTTTTGAAAGCCTTCACCTTCTCGTGGTTTGATTCGAACGGTTCTGATCGTGAAATTGTGTAGAAAATTAAGTCGAACAACTGATCGACGTCATCCAGGATGAAGATCATGTTTTTGGATTGGTCAGTAAGCACAGAACTAGTTATTGTGCTGGGATGAGATATCGCAATGGTCTGAATTGAGCTGTCATGCAAACCTTGAATGAAGTGCGTAAATGCTTCATCGGGATCGATTTTTATGACGTAAAATAACCGTAAGTCCGTTACGTCTACTATTTTTTTACTTACGTTGATTGCCAGCGAGGTTAGGGGATCCCATCCATCCTGAGCAAATCTCATAAGATCAGATGTGCTAATAGCAGCGAAATCACTGTGAATGCCGAATAAGATCAGAACAATGATGAACTGCATGACCAAATGTAAAGTCTTTGCACAATACCGTAATATTTCGTTTGATGTCTCGATGACGAAGAATGGATGTTTCCGGACTGCCGAATCTGCTTTAAATAAAATAAAATGCAACCTTCTTGATGGGAGATTATTCTTAATTTTCCCTTAACTCTTTAACGATATTAATTAATGCGCAAATCTAAATTGTCAAATCGAATCATACGACAGTTTAGCATCAAAAGAGTTCATTTCGATTGCCTTTCGTAGCCGTACTTAAACTTTTGTCATTCTTCATGGTGGAAAACACCGGCAAATCCCCACAGTTTTTATTTTCCCTTTCACATTATTGAGGAAATATTAGATGGCGAAATAAAAAAGATGGACTTACGGAAATGATCCCGATTGAATGGAGCAAGTCTATAGCCAGCGTAATCGAGTGAAAAAGACCAACTGTAAGATACTAAATCGATAGCTAAACTCAGTGACCGCGGATCTTAGCTTTCGGATTTGTGGGCTTTCCATTATGCTACAATTTTTTTAAAAACAAATCAAAATCAAATAAATAAATAAATAAATAAAAAAATATCCGGGCATTTAGACGCTTGAGTCGCGGTACTCGGCTCTCAATTTTAATGTATCGATATTGAGAATAAAAAGTACTACTCCATCGAGAAAGAAGAATATCGAATGATGTAGCTATTCGATCCTTCTTTATTAGTGAATGTTTTGACACCTCGTGCTTAAAGTGAAAATACTAGGGCAAGTGGATACAATGAAATAGTTTCAAGCTTTTTAGAGGGAGACTTTCAACTTTTATAACGTGCAATTAAAGTACGCCGTTTAAAAATGTAAATGTTTCTGCCACTGAATAATAGATCACAAAAACATTCAGGTCAAACCAATCGATGAAGGTTCTAAAAGATTTAAAATCAAGTCGTCACAGGATCGAAAAAACAATTCGGCTGTAGAGCTGGCTCATAAAATACATGACACTACTTTGAAGGGGGGGGGGTCGAGGTCTACTTTCCAATTGCGTTAGACTGGGAAGGAAGAAGTCCAGGGCTGAATTACTCAACGCTGAAATAAGCTCGTAGTGCCGATTTTTCCGTACTTTATGATGAAAAATCGACGCGACGTAACAATGTTCATCCAACATTCATCACAGAATGGATAATTTTCTTAAGGGGCGCACTACAAATGCATTTGGAATGGATTAATTAGAAGAAAAGCATATTATCAGCGTTAGGAAATATATTGTGAAGCAACCTCATCATTCGCTAATCTGCAAGCTGCACTATTGCTGCGACGTTTATGGGTTTTCAAATGATGCAACAATTCGGCCTCCGCGGCCACGCTAGGAAGTATCTTTTCACAATGAAGGCGTTCCTCATACATCAACACTCTTCATGGAAGAACCATGTGAAGCGCGGACCCGCAACAAACATATTTTCAGGCTAGACATTTGCAGAAGACGACGGCCTTTTACTTTAAAGCACTGTTTCCATTGGCTTTTTGGATAAACAATGTCACTTCCGGCTGTTTTGCGTGAAACCACGTCATTTTTTGCGCACTTATACAGTTTTCTCATGTGTCCGCTTACTTACAATTAAGATGCATGTTGCCGTTGAATTTCAATTCGATAAACTTCTAAGGTGATGTAGGACGGCTAGGTTAGCCGAGTGGTCAGCGCGTCTGACTCTAGGTCAACAAGTCCCGGGTTCGAAACCCGGTAGTGGTGTCAAATTTTCTCGGAACTGACGACTGGATCTGCTGAAACAGACCCTCCTCGGCCTTAATCCCTGAAAATTCGAAAAACCTGGAGAATGGATGTATACTACCAGGGTGTCTAGCATCAGGATTTTCCCGATTCTATCAGGATTTGAGGTCAATCAGGATTTAATCGCGATTTAATCAGGATTTGAGGTCAATCAGGATTTAATCCCGATTTAATCAGGATTTGAGGTCAATCAGGATGTAAT